CGCTAACAGAGCTATCACAGATCAGTGGGTGGGACTTCACTTGCAGATACTGAAATCAATATCAGCCATCTTGTTTATAAGCTAAGCTAACAAGCGCTGTGGAGATAGGAAGTTATGACAATGACGGAAGAAACTAAACATGATATGGAAGTAGAGGATTTTAAATTCTGCTGCTCGAATCCGCTGTTCGTGGCTATCTTTACGAGCCGCAATATAGTGAAGAGCAGCTGAGCCTGGTGGAGGAACAGGAGGCGGCTGCCTGTCGCAGATGAGGAGCCCGGACTGGCTCGAGCTGGGCGGACTGCTGGTGCCTGTGCTCTCGCTGTGCGCTACGGACACAGATAGAGTCCGTCTGCTGCAGAGAATTTCAACGATAGCAATTTCTCCTGGACGAAATCTCTGAATCAGACGAGCACACGGACGTTTGTGTTGTGATGTGAACCATCCTAGTGTCGCACCACATATGTTCTGACTGAACATCCAGGTAATAATTCACCATATAGAAAGAAATACAAACGAGGAGTAATTCGCTAATGAGTTTGCCAATGTAACGGGGTTCGTTGTTGTGGGAAGAAGGAGGCGGGAACCGGCGAACATTTAAACATTTTAATAGGAAAATAAACAGATACAAAACAAAAGTATAAGCCAGCTGGCCACACACAACAGAAACAAAACATAAAATCAGGCCTGTTCCTTTTGTGCTTCCGCTCCTCCGTGAGAGATATGAGACCGCTGCGTCTCACAGGTGTCATTCATTATCACTCGCGCCGTCCTCTTACGTCCCTCGTCCTGCTCGCCACAGCCAACTAACTAGACATTTTGTGTGAAACGAATTTCAAACTCTTTTAGCAGCTAGCCTTGTAGACGGAAGAGTGATTTCTCTGTTTGCGCTGTTCTGTATTAGTGGGAGTGGCTTGCGGAGCTGTGCAATGTGGTGCATTGCGGGAGTTGTCGTCTTACATACAAATGCGCCCTAAAGTTATTTTCTGTCTTTTCTAGGTCAACAGGGCACCAAATTCAAAATTTCTTTTACATTTCGACTACATATATAACCCACTTTCAATAAAGATTAATGTTGAAATGGGTGGAGTGACCCTTTAACAGTTGATATAGTTCTTTAATGATTCGCTAACTAGCAGAAGACACTAGCATGGTTTAAACCCCAGTTGTGCGGTTGGGGCATGTTGTAACACTGCGTTACAATGTGCCCCTATTAGAAATATGCTATTATATTCTATACTTTTATGAATTCTATTGAGAAAGCATGAGAAACATGTAAATAAAGACTGAGAGTCAATGTTTAGAAATGATTAATTATTATTTTGTTTTGAACTATGCTGTATAGCTGTGTTTTCCAGTGTGTTTGTTGTCAAACTCAAAAATTTGTTTATTTTTAATTATTAAAAAATGGAATTATTTAATATGAAAAAGTTAATAATTGCATTTTATTAAGAAAATATTTTGGTTTGATGTTACAATGTGGCCCTCACATGTTACAATGTACCCCAGCTATGGGGCATGTTGTCACATTTCACCCCCATTCTTTTAGGGTAAATCAAGAAAAAACTAAACACTGTATTAAAAAAACAAAACCACATAATTGTACTAGACATGTGGGAAATTAATGTGGGAAAAAATAAATACTCTAAATCCTAAGTAGATTTACACAAACTGAGAAAGTCAAAAAGCGTTACGTTATGCCCCGCTCTCCCTTGCGCGCACTCATACTAACACAAAAATATGCACAGAAATAGGAACTAAATTGGATGTAAATTCTCTTTAATGGTTTTACTTTTTATTCTTAATATGTCTTAACTAAATATTCAGTTTAAACAATGTAATACTGTCTGTCATAAAGTAAAATATAATGTAGCAGAAAAATAACCCTTACTTTAATTGCTTTTATTAGTACGAGGATGACAGCAATAGTTTTGGATGCTAGTTCAAGGACAGAGGCACTCATGGTTGTCTGTGAAGAGATACATTATTTGCCATATGCGGAAATTATGATTAAATTATAGTTTTAGTAGGAATCTGTGAATTTAAAATGGAGGTCATAAATGTATTAAAGTTTTTTGACACACTTACCGTTTTTTTCAAAACTGGTCTAATGATAATCAGGAGTGAAGAGCCTCCAAGAAAACAGAGGCGACTGAACAATAACAGTGCTAAAACACATCTCTGACATGTATACAAAAAGACATAAATGTACAAATACAAACACACTTATGTAAAGTAGAAAAAACAACATTGATAGTCAAATAACCATATTTTAATAATCAAACTGCATTACCTATTACTTTTAATAACCATTAGTGTAAAACCTAATTACATTTGTAAAATCATCATGAGAAAATTTGATTTATAAACATGCTTGCTACAATAAAATACCACTTAGCAACATGCAATACAATACCACATATTGGGCACACTGAGAAGGCGATGTTGATGTAACACAATAAATGAAAACAAATGACAAGATTTATCATCATGCTCTTAAAAATAAAGGTTCTTTATCGGTGTAAAGCCCGGCCGCTGGCCCGACGACAGTTTCAGAAAAAGTAGTTTAATTCCAATTAAACTTTTATCTGACTCCATTTTATCACGACCTCGAATTTAGATCAGAATGCCAATTGATTATTGACCATTCATATAATAAGTTATCTAGACACTTGATTATTCTATTTAACTCTTTACTCGTATTGTACTAGTTCATTCAGATAGGGCCTACCAATGGCACTCATGGGTCTTGCGCCGGCCGTTCTTTTACGCAGATCCCACTCGCCAGTCTTGGTCACTAGACAGAGGTATTTGACTATATTATTTAGATGGCCCCTCAAATGCTTGCTCTCTCTAAAAGTATTTTGTTTAGTCCCCATAGATCTGTATACACTTGAATAAAGCAACACTATCTCTAGTCAGAGGTCATGACCACTACTACAGATATAAGCCGACTAATATTACTTTCTCTGACGGTATACGGTTTGGTCATGCCATGGTTTCCCATGTAGGCCTACACTTAGGTAGAGTAACAAATAGAGGTAAGTCTCACACTATTTAGGTTGATCGATCAACATTCTTTTGTCCTATATGGAAATTCCCTTTTTAGCCTTTACAGTACACTTGAACCAGTTAGCCGGTGCTCTAAAATCTCAGTTGGCGTGCCCTATGCTCAATACTGGACATTAGTCCGTTACTAACCTGAACGCAGATTTGCGGTTACAATGGATACAATGTAATCTACTAGAGTTAATAATTTCAGAGTAAATCAGAATAAATTAGTAGGGGGATGCTGAGTATCTGAGGTTCTTTTTGCCTTACATTGGGATCCGTGGTCCCACAGGGAACCTTTCACATCCATGAAACCTTTCTATTGTGCAAAAGACTAGAAACTACAAGTAGATTTCCGAAAATAATTACTGTTTTCAAACACATTCCCAAAAATACTGTGATATGTTCTACCCCAAACTAATATATGTCATCTATCACTTTAAATGATATATATATATATATATATATATATATATATATATATATACTGTAAAATAGTGTATATACTGTAACAAAAATCGGTGAAATTTAGGCAGCTGTGAATTGCCAGAACTTCGCCATAAAAAATTCCTATGGTAGCAACATTTTAGGTTTTACAGATTGACCTTAAATTTACAGTAAAGACGTGTATTTTATTAACTGATAGTGTTAATATACCAAACCTCTGAACCTCTATAATATACTGACAACCACCAAAAACACAGGTAGTAATTAGAAAGATACATGTAGCCTGAATCTCGTCACAAGAAGTTTTTCCACATGACTGATGTCAATACTACTAGAAGGTGCACACAAATACAATCATAGTAACACACGACACTAAAATAATTCAATAACCAGTAATTTACCAACATAAGATTTAGGCTGAATCCCAATTCTCTGTCTTACTCCTTCCTCTTACCCCTTCCCCTTAGTTTTGCACGTTTACGTGAGAGTAAGGGCTATCCCAATTCCCAATTCTCATTTTGATCTAGGGGTAGGGCTTAAGGGGAAGGGGTAGATACCCCTTAAAACCAAGAATTTTTGCGAGCTTACTTGAAACCAAGGGGTACCCAGAATGCACTGCACAACCGGCAACAATGGCGGGCATACCATCCAGAGAGTCCCATAAATGTAAGTATTTTCGGCTTAAATGATCGATTAAAAAATTATGACAAAAATGTATGATCCCGAAATCCAGGCGACATGTCCGGGAAAAAGAGAACGTTGTATGGTCACCCTGGAGACATTGATACGTGCTTTACATATACTGTCCTGTATCACACAGGGACGCATGAGGAAACCCGGTGTTGTGCCGAATTTCTACCCCCGCCAAATTATTACCCCCCTAGCATTGGTAGGTTTAGGATTAGTTGTGGGGGAGGGGGTAGGATTCGGGGCGGGGTTGGGATTAGGCAATCAGGTACTGACTTCAACGAGGGGGGGTAATAATTTGGCAGGGGGTCGAAATTAGGCACAACACCGGCAGCTGATCCACTTTCGGGATGAAAACGAGCTGAAGTTTCTAAGATCAAAATATGCTGCAAAGCAACTATGAGAGTGAGTCATGCGTTCATGTAGTAGCCATTCATTATTGTATTGGTATTGTATTATTGTAATCATTAAAAAACATACATCTTCAATCTCAATGCAAGGCAATGAATGCATACTGTATAAGTTGAATAAGTGAGTGATGTAAAATTGAGGCTACTGACATTTTTAGTTTTTGTGTGTTTTTTATGTTTACTTTATATATTCTGTAATAAAATATATTTTTATCTATTGTATTCGCCTGTTATATATACTTTATTGGTTCTGTAATAAAATATATTTTGTATGATGACGTAACCAAGTGGTGTCTCATTTCATAGGGGTATGTTTTCACCCCTTGCGCTTACCACTCGGTTTCGAGGGACAAGGGGCTAGGGGTAAGACGAAGGGGTAGGGGAGGGGAAGGGAAGGGGTAAGACAGAGAATTGGGATTCAGCCTTAACATTTAACCCTTTAACGAACAAGAAACTTATAACAAAAAAATGTGACTCCAGAACATCAGAACTGCATACAAAGTGCTTAAAGGATCCCATAAGTTCCGGCAAGAACAGCAGACTGTCAATGGAAAGAAAAAGAAAGAAAGAGTTTTGAGGCACTTAAAATACATTTAAAATACAACAACAGGATAGGGTTGAGGCACCTTCAGTTTTTACAGTGTTTTATAGTCTCTGAAACACAAGTTTATTTATATTAAAAACACAAATATTTTTTACATTTCTGCTAATTTATTCAAAGTTATTAATAGAAGCCCTGCAATTTTGAAATAAGTCTCTTATGCTCACCTCTGCTACATTTATTTGTTACAAAATACAGTATAAATAGAAATATTATGTGATATTTTTAAAGCCATTTAAAATAAGTGTTTTCTATAGGGCCGGGACTTTAACGCGTTAATTAATTACACAAAAAATTATTTTTAATCGCACTTATTTTTGCACCGCGGAACGTTTCTCACTGGATGAGTTTCGGCGGACCGATTATACTGGCGCACCAACTAGCGTTCATGACGAAGAAGCTGACGAGATCGCTTTGGTTGGCCGGTGGCTGGGAAATGTTGTTACAAACAACGAACGGATGGACGCGTCGATAAGAGCATGGTTGTGTGCAAGCTATGCAACAAGGAATTCGCTATTGCTATTAGTGTAGTGTAGCAATATGCTATTTTGTTGCAATATGCTATTGCTACACTTAATGGCTATTATGGCTATTAGTGTAGTGCTATTAGTGTAGTGTAGCAATATGCTATTTTGTTGCAATATGCTATTGCTACACTTAATGGCAAAAATTGCACTGGTCTACTGGACTTGGTTGAACAAAAATAAACAATATTTTGTTGCTTAAAGGTTGGGTAGGTCGTTTTTGGTCTAAAAAACTTTTTCCCAAATTTGTTTAAACTTTCTATATATATCAATGCATAATTAAAATGTAAGTACTCTGATAAAAAGAGTATAAAAATCGAGTGACTCTAGACCGTTTAATCTGCACTAAACACAGCTCATTATTTCCTTCCGGGACGAAACAAAGGATTGGCTTAGGCGACTGTCACTCTCTCGCAACCATGGCAACACCCCCGCTGCTACATGCGCTGCCCACATGCGCGCACTCGTTTGACTCGAGGAGGGTAAGAGACTAGTAAGAGACACAATTACATGCAAAACACGGCGTCTATGTTATGAATCTTACACAAAATTCACCTTCATCACAGTGTAACTGATTGTAATGGGAAAACGTGTATCAATGCAACCTGTTTTTAGCTTTGCTTTATGTTACTAGCTCGTTAACGAATCAAACTCAATATATTTTAAACTTTAACAGTATCGATATGCTAGCTTGATAGTGAGTATTAACAGCCATGTTAGTTGTTTATATTCATAATGATAAAGTTAGGTATTTTATTACATGTGAGTCTGACATGATGTCACTACATGCACTGCTCCTCTCCGCTCGGCGCTGGTAAGCGCGTCCTCCAGCTGTGAGCTGTCGGCATCGCACGTTCATGTGTTTTGGGGGCGTGGTTTTGGAAGGAGCCCAGAATGGAGGGGGTGGAAGTGAATGGAGATAAGTAGCTGTGTTTATTACAGCCCTGAGAGGACTACAGACACTCGATTTTTATACTCTCTTTTCCAGAGTACTTACATTTTAATTATGCATTGATATATATAGAAAGTTTAAACAAATTTGGCAAAAAGTTTTAAAAAAAAATTCTACCTACAATACCTTTAAGCTTATGTATGCAGTCATTATTCAATGGTATACTAAAAATCCATGTGAAAAAAAATTACTTCTCACAGTTCTCAGGTAAAATATTTATGCGATTAAAATGCGATTAATTTCGATTAATTAATTACAAAGCCTCTAATTAATTAGATTAATTTTTTTAATCGAGTCCCGGCCTTAGTTTTCTATTTTAATATATTTAAAAATGTAATTCCTGTGATGGCAAAGCTGAATTTTCAGCAGCCATTACTCCAGTGTCACATGATCCTTCAGCTGCTTTTTAACATTGATAATAAAAACGTCTCAGGTTACGACTGTAACCATAGTTCCCTGAGAAAGGGAACGAGACGATGCGTCATCGACACTTTGGGAACGCCCCCAGCGTGAATGCGTCTGAGCATCAATGTCAACTAGTCCAATGGAAAGAATGAGCGTCACGGGCGGGTGACGTCATGACCAGGAAGGGATAAAAGCACATCCGGTGCAAACCGCCATTAGCTTCAAAAATGTCGAAGCAAGCCGATCACAGGGATGCAGGAAGTATGGCAGGGTGACCCATCGTCTCGTTCCCTTTCTCAGGGAACTATGGTTACAGTCGTAACCTGAGACGTTCCCTTTCGAGGGAACTCGCGATGCATCATCGACGCTTTGAGAACGAGAATACCCAAAACGCCAGAATTCCAAGTACCTGAGTGTCAGTCTGTTGAAACTAAGCACTAAGCACCTGAGAACCTGGGGCAGCATCCAGGTCCAAGCTGTAAAACCTGACGAATGTGAGCGGAGAGGACCAGCCCGCCGCATCACAAACGTCTTGGAGAGAAACCCCAAATAACAAGGCTTTAGACTCGGCCAGCGTGGTGCTACTAGCAGTAGGCTTATTCCGTACTGGCGGACTCGTTCCAGAACTCCTGGGAGCAGAGCAACAGGGGGGAATGCGTACAGACGTAGCCTCGGCCACGTCTGCACCATAGCATCCAGCCCCAGGGGGGCTGGGTGAGTAAGGGAGAACCAAAGTGGACAGTGCGTCGTATGCTGAGACGCAAACAGATCCACCTCTGCTTGGCCGTAAAACTCCGAAATTTTCTCCACCGCCTCGGGGTGGAGTCTCCAGTCCCCTGGCCTCAGCTCCTGCCTCGACAGGATGTCTGCCCCAATATTCTGGTCCCCAGGAATATACACTGCCCTCAGGGAGAGTACCTTCCCCAGAGACCACAGGAGGATCTGGTGCGCCAGCTTGCAAAGCGGACGCGACCGCAGACCCCCCTGACGGTTCAGATAAGAGACCACCGATGTGTTGTCTGTACGGACGAGCACATGATGGCCCCTCAGGTCTGGGAGGAATTGCTTCAACGCATTGAAGACGGCCATCATCTCCAGGCAATTTATGTGCCAAGAAAGATGATGACTCCTCCACCGACCCTGAACCGAGCGGCCTTCCATTACCGCTCCCCAGCCGGTGAGGGAAGCATCTGTCGAGATCGTAACTCGATGGCAGAGAGCTCCCAACACCGGACCCTGGGTTAAGAACCAGTGTTTTCTCCATATAACCAAGGCACGAAGGCATCGCCGCGTGATCTTGATCATACGAAGTGGGTTTCCCCTCGGGGAGAACCCTCTGGTCCTGAGCCACCACTGCAAAGGTCTCATGTACAGCAGGCCAAAAGGAATCACGTTGGACGCTGCCGCCAAAAGACCCAACAGTCTCTCGAACTGTTTTACAGTGCGTGACTGGCCTAGCTTTAGCTCTTTGGTGGCTGTCAGGATAGCAGCTACACGAACGGGCGATAGAGTGGCCCGCATCGTCACTGAATCCCATACCACACCAAGGAAAGTGGTTCTCTGTACTGGAGAAAGCACACTTTTCTTGGCATTGAGCCTCAACCCCAACATCTGCATATGAGCGAGAACGACACCTCGGTGCCGAACCGCCAACTGCTCTGATTCCGCTAGAATCAGCCAGTCGTCGATGTAGTTCAGAATACGTATGCCCTGAAGCCTGAGAGGGGCTAGAGCTGCATCCACGCATTTCGTGAACGTGCGGGGTGATAAAGCTAGACCGAAAGGAAGAACCCGATATTGGTATTCTTTGCCCCCGAAAGAAAACCTTAGGAACTTCCTGTGCTGAGGGAGGATGGAGACATGGAAGTAAGCGTCCTTCAGATCTATCGTGACAAACCAGTCCTCGGATCTGATTTGAGTCACGATCTGCTTGAGTGTCAGCATCTTGAACTTGAGTTTCTGTACTGAACGATTTAACAGACGAAGATCTAAAATGGGACGCAACCCTCCATCCTTTTTTGGAACAATGAAATAACGGCTGTAAAAACCCGACACTCTGTCGGGTGAGTACACCTGTTCTATAGCTTCCTTTGCTAACAGGGCCTTTACCTCTTGCTCCATTACCAGAGCCTGCTCGGGATGCACCACTGTGGGCAGCACCCCGTTGTAACGAGGAGGACGAGAACCAAACTGGATTCTGTATCCTTTCTCTACAATCTGCAGGACCCAACGAAAAATATTCGGCAGAAGCTTCCACGCTGCCAGAAAATTTACTAAGGGAACCAGCCTCTCGAGGCTGGTCTCTGGTGTTATCGAGACGGCTAATTCCGGAGCCTGAAACATAATGGCAGGAACTACCTGAACTGGCCGCTCTAAGGCCCCCCTCAGAGGGCGCGAAACCGATGCTGTGCCGCAGCATAGCATCAGCGACTCGCTGGAGACCGCTGCGGCCTGAAGCACCGAGGGTGGCAGGGTTGGCAGAACGGTCTCGTGAGGACCCCAAAATGGAACGGGCACCGTATAATGAGGTGTACACCGCTCCACTTCGGTCGGGGCTGTCCTCACAGGCCTGATGCATGAACATCAGGACCTTTTTTTTTTTTGAACCGAAGTCTTCTTCGCCTGAAGAACGGTCCTCAGATCCGGCTTCGACTTAGAAGACTTCGGTTGAGAGGGTTGCGTCCGTCTCCAGTCTCTACGTGGAGGTGCACGAGACGCAACACTCTCTTTCTGATGCACACGATATGATGAGCTCGACGGCTGGGGCTGCTCACGCCCAGCAGCCCCAGGGGGCTGGACCCGGCGAGGGATAAACTTTTTAAAAACGTCAGCTTGTTTCTTTGACTCCTGAAATCTCTTGACGAGCGCGTGGACTGCGTCGCCGAAGAGACCAGAAGGTTCAAGCGGAGCATCTAATAAAAAAGCTCGATCTTTTTCTTTAATTTCAGACAGATTTAACCATAAATGTCTCTCAGTAGCTACCAAGGCTGCCATAGACCGCCCAATTGCTCTGGCGGTCTCCTTAGTAGCCCTGAGAGAAAGATCGGTAGCCCGACGAA